GAGGGTGCATGAGAGGTGCCATATGGGTTGGGGAGGGTGGGGGAGGGTGCATGAGAAGCACCACGCAGGTCAGGGATGGCGTGAAGGTGCGCGAGAAGCGCTGTGCAGGTCAGGGATGGTGGGCTAGGGTGTGTGAGAGGGGAGGGTGGGCAAGAGGCACTGCACGGATTGGGGAGGGTGCACAAGAGGCACCATGCAGGTTGGGGAGGGTATGTGAGTGGCTGGTGCTGCACGTGTGTAGAAGGGCTGTAGGAGGGTGTGCAAGTGGGGGAGACTTACCCCAGTGATTTGGAATCCTTCCTGCCAGTTTCCCCTTTGATGTTCTGGGGAGGCTGGCATGGAAGGTTGCAAATGGTGATCACATGATCACGTGGTTAAATAAAAACAGGTTGCTAAATGCCCAGATCACGATCACGTGACCATGAAAGTGCTGGGACAGCCGGAACTGCAAGGACCGGTTATAACCACCATTCATTCAGTGCTGTCGTAACCTCAAATGGTCACTGAACAAATGATTGTAAGTGGAGGACTACCTGTAAATAAACAAATACGTAAAGGAAATGAAACCAAATGTAACTTGTGAATGGATTTTGGCTCATAGTGTGCTACTCAAAGATCAAATAGAGCTTTTGGCCCCAGAGAAGTTATATATTCTTGGCTTAATGAGTAGAACAATTCAGATAAGGTTTTTAATTCTGTGATGTTAAACGTTAAGCATATAGATGCAGTGTAACATATAAATAGGAAGTATTTAGTGATAGAACAGAAGGTTGTTCCTAAATTCAGACAAGGATGAAATTATGTATCAACATACATTTGTGGTTGGTGCTGGTTTGCAAGAAAGTTATGTGAAAGAATTGGATATATTTGGTTCTGTCAAGCACAAATTCTGTTTCTGACTCTCAAAAATGGGGATTTGAGAAGTTCTCTCTTGCCTTTCACTCCCTCAAAGCTTGCAGCTTATAAACAAATCTTCCCCAGTGTGATGCCCTTCAGATGTATTGAGACTGCAAGAACCCCCAGAATCTGCACTGCTGGTCATGTTGGCTGAGATTTCTGGGAGCTGCAGTGCCAACATACCTGGAAGGGATGTGTTCAGGAAAGATTATTATAAACCCTTAAGAAAAGATCCCAGAGCTGCTCACTCACTTGAAGCTCTTCTATTTGACTCAGACTGCTTCTCAGCTGGTTTCCCAGCTGTTCCTTCTCAGATAATATGGATTCTTTTTCTTCTTTGACCCTGTTTGGAAACAGGCATAGCAGATTATTATTATTTCCTTACTGCATTTATATACTACCAAAAACAGAAGTTCTCTGGATAATTCACGGAACAAAGATTAGAACTATAAAATATGCAAATGCAGTATTTATCACTTAAGGTGAATCCAGAGAACAATCTTTTTAAGCACAATATAGATATTATCATTGTTATTATTATTGTTATTCAAATGTTAACCATAGCTAACTACATCTACTAAAAACAAGCCAGTTTCATAAAACTATGGCCTTGCATTTGTTTCCACACAGATAATAAAAACAGAATTGAGGGATTCCAAACATCTTTTTTATGGCTGCATTGGAAAGGGAACAGGGATTTCATAGACCCAAGGCTCTCCTGGGCTTCAGCACTAAAGTTTATTTAGTGTTGTGATTCAACCAGCTGTCTCCAGGAGAAAAAAAAAATACTTGCTGCATCAGTTCTGCCTTTATGGCACACTTTTCCTTTTCTAGATCTTTCTTCTGGGATTCCAGGTTCTCACATCTGCTCTCTAAAGTATTCACGCTATTTTGAAGAGCCTGAAAAGTCAAGAGCAGAAAACCAAAATTGGATCATCAAGATTACCATTTCTTATAATTTCACAAGTAACTAAGGAGCAATTGGCATTTCTGTTTACTTACTTGAACATATAGTTATGTTTTAACCTCATCTCCCTATTACATTTCTGGCGAATCTATAAGCCACTCTGCAATGAATGATCAGTGGACTCTTCCTCTTTGCCTTGGGGTGTTTTTGTTCTGTAGTTTTTTATAGTTTCCATTACTACAGCCAATTCTGGCTAAGGAAACTTAGTTCTAAATTCATGAAGCTGCATAGTCTCAGTCTTCAGAATACCCTCTATTCTGAAGCTCCGTTACTTTTGTTTGGACACACATAACCTCCTCCATATATCCCATAACCAGGTTGTCCTAACATCAATATCTTGGTAACTAGGGTTCAATCAACTTTTTGTAACCTCTGCATAATTTGGTCCTCCTTCCCACTTTTTAAACTAGCATTTTTAGAAGAAACTGCATAGTGTTCCATGCTTCCCTTTTTAGTAACACAGATACCTTCTTTATACCAATCCAGACTCAACACTGAATACTGACAGATAGTGGTCTTTCCTTGTTCTCCCCAATCCGGGTGGAATGTTTTCTTAGCAGTCCATTAAAAGTGGCAAACTGGATGAACCTATACATTTATTAAGCTATTCCTACCTTACTCTGAGGGCAAATTCTGAGGAGATTGTAAACTCTACATTATTCTAGAAAGAAAAGACTAGTTAAGTGTCCTCAGGTTTCTTTTTGTTGTGCTTTATTGTGTTTTGGAGATGGCTCCTACCTTGGCTGCCACAAGTTCTTCCTGCAGATGCAAATTCTGCTCCTGGAGACTTACTAGGTTCTTCTTCAGTTTCTGGTTTTCTTGAAGCAATGTTGCATTTTGCTGCTGTATTTCCTCCACTTCCCCCTGCAAAACAAAATCAAAACAAAAGAACCAAAGTTACATAGTACTAACATGTTCTGGAAAGGTGCGCCAGATCCTTCAAGATGCAACTGGTTCTTCAGATCAAATGTTTGTTATATATTTTTGGTAATGAGTTCTGAATCAATTACCTTTTAATTTGATGCAATGCTAACTGCATCAGTAGAAACAGCACATTAAGGATGGTTTTTATCTCATTAGTTTGGTCTGATCACCTGATTCATTTTTTGAAATATGAAAGAATTGAAGAATAGAATACCATTTTTGTGTAGGCACTCCCACACAGTTATTAGTTAGCCACTCTGCTTGCTTATGCTGCACTACCTTAGTAAGCATTCTTTGCACATGTCTGTCGGAGGTGAAGCACCAGCTGTTTGAATTCCTGGGACACAGACATTTCTGAGATATAATAATTCAAGATCAGCTCCTAAGATTTTATTTTTAGAATGGGGTAGATTACTTAACTTAAAGCAAGTCACGCCATATATGCAAACAGTGGAAACTTCTAAGACATCTCAGCAAAGTGTTTAATGTCTTTTTGTCTAAATTCTATATGATAAGTAGCCACTACTGAGATCAGTCTGGTAATGCAAAGTTTTGCTCTAAAAGGTGGATTTTTAAAAAACTATTAAAAATATTCCATCAGCATCCAAACTCTTATAGTTGTGACCATAAGAGGTGCCTGATGATTCATTCTATTTATTTTAAATACTGCTCTTCCATCTCCTTTGTGCTCAGAGATGAGTTGAGAGAATATTTTAAAAACAAGTATACGTTAATGAGCGTTCAATAAACTTTCTCAAATACCTAAATATAGGATTACATGGAAATATGTACTAGCAAGAGTTTAACCAAAGATGTCATGGAGATAGTATGGAATAACCCCTTCCCTATTTGAAAACTATGTTAGCATGCTGCTCCCTGACAAATGTGTGAGAATTCACTGTATATTAATGTATTCTGCTCTGACATACGTTCAGTTGCTTTCCCCTAAAATTATTTCATCAAGTCACTGGATGTATTTAGTGTTAATTTTGATTTTTTTTTTTTAAATATATTTTTTACCAGGCTGGATGTTTTTGTGTCAGTGTTTGACTTTGATGGTTTTATGCGATGTCTCATTCTCAGCAGCACTGAGAGCCAAAAGGAGGCCGGCCAGTTCTTTGTGGGTCAAGCTGATCAGACTGTAGATAAGGTGGAAGAAGTGCAACCTTTCTCTGCTGAAGCCAAAAAGAAACCTTTTGTGTGTGTCTATGGGTACACATACAGATATGTGTAATTATGGGTACATGCAGTCCCCTACACACCAATCAATCTTCAGATCAAAAAAACTACCCATTCCTATTGTATGGAATCTAATTTTTTTTAAAAAAACATGCTGTAATGGAAGCCATATTGGGAAGGATTTTCTTTTTCCTAAAATGGTATTATGAAAATATTTTTTTAAAAGATAAAGTCAGAAAGGCGTAAGCTTGCTGGTGCAGGTTCAACGTATCTCAGACAAGACATTACGAGAGTGCGAAATGTTTTGATTTTGAACCATTTTGAACTTGAAACACCCTGTTTTGAGTTTGAAATGCCTCACTTAAAGCGTGAAACAGCTGTTTCTAATGTGAAATGGACTGTTTCAAGCAGGTTGGAAGTGTTTCAGGGCCAGAACATTTCAAGCCTGAAACACTTTCAAAATGCTCAAACAGCTGTTTCATGCTTAGAGCTGCAAATCTTGAAGACAGAAAATTCTGCATATTCCTATAAGCCTTTATCCAGTTCAGGACTTAAGAAAGGAAACCAACCTGGGTAGTAACCACCAGCATGTCATCCTCAGCCTCAGTACGGAATTGAAAGGGGACACTGGCCCCACGGATTTGCCCATCTTGATCAACATAGCAAAACTGATAATACTCATCATCTTTTGGCAGGTAGTAAGCTGAAAGAACAAAAAGCCACACTTCATGTCTAGAAAGTCTCAATCATTCAGAGTAAATACAGAAGTTAACTGTCTTACACCTAGTCATGGGTTATCCTTCAGAGGTAATTTGCTGGATGCCAAACATCAGGATGGCTGATAGCTTTTAAAATTTCTCTCTTCCCCAAGAAGCAGGGCTGACAGCTCTAACTAGATATCTGAATGGGTCTCTTGCATAAGGGTTTTGGAATCAGACCCAGATTAAGCCTAGCACTTAAATGAAATGAAATTAAGCCTAGTGCCCCAGCCCTTCCTTCCTTCGTTTATTTCTTCAGTCTCATGATCTTTACTCTTACTAGCAACAGCTCCCTCAGATCTCAGGTTAATGTCTCACCATAGCCATAGCTGAGGTGGGGAACAAGTGATATCATACTTGTAGCATGTACCAGCATACACTTTACTGCTGAACTACACTGACTTCTCAAGAAACAGCTTTCTTTTCTCCCTCCAGTGGTATGGGTTACCCAAGCAGGAAATACTAGCTATAAAACTGTATATAACAACTAATTCTGTTAGCGCTGGGTGAAATCACGCTTTTTATCTCCTACAGGAAGGGAGGGAAGGATGACAGACACTACCAGGGTTGTTGAGGATGGTTTACAATACTATCAGCAACCAAGTCTTAATCTGGCAAAATAATAAAAACAATTAATAAAATTAATAAACCCAGCAATTGGTTTAACAGTTTCCTTTTAAGGGACTGCTAGTGAATGAAGCCTAGATTTCAAATAACCCATTTTGGAAGCCACAATGACACTACATGCAAAGTTGGATATCAGCAGGTAACAATGTGATTGCTGCAGCAGGTTTCCTTTTGCAAAACTGCACCACCAATTCCCCTCCCATCACTGACCTTTAAAAACCACCTGTTGTTGTTCAGCACTGCTGCTCTCAGAGATGCTGGGCAGAGGGGCCCACATGAATGTGTAGTATTCACGAGTTGTCTTCCATCCCACCTGTAAGCAACAGCAAAATGCATGTGAAGGCTTCTGGTTCCTGCTCCAACTAGAATTTAACCAACCTGGGGCCCTCCACATGTGCTGGAACTGCTGAAGGCTATACTAACTGTGGATTCTGGGAAGTGCAATCCAAGCACATCTTCAAGACATTTAGAGATGCCATGCTGTATTTGTTTTGCATTCTCTAGTGCCATCCAATAAATGGTTACTCAGTGAAATCATTATAGGTTATATTGAGGCAGAGTGATCTTATGTGAAATTTATGTTGGAAGAGGGAAGGAGAAATGATCCACATGGCCCTGTTGGTTTGCTGCATCCAAGGAGGGAAGAAGGAGGGGGAAAGCCTTCATCTTTCCAATTACAATGAATAGGAAGAAATTACCTACACTAGCAGCAGGGCTAGAATCAGGTCCCAGCAGTTTTGAAGACATATGAGGAAAATTATAGGGCTTTCAGAGAGCAAACTTAGCCCTAACACATCTTTTCTATCTCCTCTGCTTTGGAGCACCATTGGGAAACATTTGTCCTGGCAAAATGTTTAGTCTGCATATCAGGGAATCTGTAGTGGCATAACCTGTCATTCTGCTGACAAACCATCTTCCATGCAGCACTTAGAAGAACTTTAAGTCTCTTATTTTGGTCTCTGGATTAGTTTAGGAATTCTCCCGCAAAGTGGTTTAATAATAATACCCATTCACAATCTTTGGGAAAGGAATATTCAGCACTTGACCAACTTATAAATCCTTGAATTTTGGGGGAGATGCATAATAGATAAATGTCGGCTTGGTACCAGTTAGCAGAGTGAACAGCTGAAAATGGTATAAGCGCTACATGCTACAAAAGCCATATAGTTTGTTAACAGCAACTGAAAGTTAAACGGAAAAAAAACTTACATTACCTTCCCTCTTGTGTAATTTCTTCTTGACCTCAAGATATGGATGTCAGAGAAACCTAAAAACCATCAAATTTTTCCTATTTCTCCTAAAAACTGAATTCTTTTCTCCTGATGCCTTTATCACAAGAGATCAATAATCCTACATCAGTTCCAATGCCCATGTTTTACAACCCAAACATCAGTGTATTTTGCAATCCAAACTTACTCTGAATATGCCCACCCAGTCCTTCTTGCGAGGTGTGAAATGCTCGGAAAAGTTATAATAGCAAGTTATATCTGTTCTGGGAACATAGAATTTTTCTATGTTTGCAAAGACGACTTGAGAGAAATGGCAGCTTTCCAAGAAGACAGCAGAAGTAGGCGGTTCCTCCAAATTATTACATACACATAACATATCCTCCATGGTGAAGTCCTTAGTCCTGTACAAAAACAAAAACAAAACCAAAAGAGGGAAAGAGGGAAAGAGAAAGAGAAAGAGAAAGAGAGAGAACAAAGGCAAGGACAATTAAAAACTGTTCTCATCAATCTTGACCTCATGATGCAAAGTTGCACAACCCCACTTTTCTTGGAATGTATGAACATCTTAAATTTCTGTATTGGCTGTAATTATTGAAAAGAGCAAGATACTGTACTGTACTCCATATTAAGATGAATCCACAGTGCACTTTAAAGTATTAGTAACCCCTGCTATCCACTTAATGATGTATTACTAACATTTTAAAAATGCTGATTAAGAAGTTATATGGCATTATGTAAAGTGGGTTCCAAAGATTTCTGACCATCACAATTGTCCCATGATAAAGTGCATAAAAGTGACTTTCCTATGGAATATGATGGCGTGATAGCAAATTCTAGCACTGTTAGGGGCAACATCAAAGTGGAGGAAGCAGATTTGATTCATAAGACATAATCCAACCAAAGAGACTTGCTTAGGAGAACATCCCAGTGAATTATGCCTCATCAATTCTTCTAAAACTAATAGCAAGCTCAATTTTTTAAGAGTCACTCCTTATACAATCAGAATGATACTAGCCGTGTGCATAAGAGGGAAGTAACAGCAGGCTTAGAGATATGAAGTGTCAACAGATACAGAACGTATTATCTGGGGATGGAATGGAAAATGCAAGGGGAGGGAGTAATGATATCAAATTGAATGCCTCCAGTGTTTTGGATCAACTCTCAACAGCCCTGGCCAGCATGGCCAATAGCAAGGAGTAGATGTAGTAACCTAGTATTCCTAAACAGCTCCATGTTGCTTGCCCCAAAAAAGATGACCAGGGAAGAAGACATGGCTGAATGGAGCAAGTGCACCTGTTTAATGTTTGGCACTGCAACATTCTATTTCATTACCCATAAAGTGAAAGGTTGAATTTCTCAAACATCCTTTCCAGAACCCCCCTGGATTTATACCTCCTACCCATCTTCTTGTCTTGATGTAGCTTGTCCTTTCTGGGAGACACCTTTACCTGGCATTCCTTATCTCCAGCGTGTAGGATAGGACTCCCTATGGTCTTACTCACAAGTATTTAGGATATCATAATAATAGAATAATAAAGATGAATAAGGAAACTGTAGTGCCAGCTCCTGGCCTTGTAGCTTTTAGAGAGTGTGATTAGAGAAATTGGTATGATTAGGAGTAGGATAAAAAACATAAATCTACAATTTAAAAACAACGTTATTAAAACAAGAAAAAAGAAACTAAAACTTCCCTTTTAACTTTACACAATCACATGCAAAAGTAATTAATGAGAAATGAAATAAAATTTCATTTGGCTAAAATTCATCTCTGGTTCTTTTATTACCACCATTCATTGGAGCCTACATGCAACTCTAATCAACCTATGATTAGACTGATTTTCATATGCATCAGTAACATGAATGATAGTGATTCCTACTTTGTCACAATGTTAGCCCTTTAATTTATAATTAAATGTACTTCCTTGCATATATTTATCAACTCCACAAGATCAGACCACCTTTATTCAGATCTGTTATATCTTTCCCTTTCCTCTTAACTTTACAGACTCATATCTTTTTTCATTCCATTTTTGCTCTTTACCATTTACTCCTCTTATGTTCCAAGTTGCAATTCTCCTAGTCATATTAGACAGGCCTCTAAATATTGATCTCTGGTGTCCATAATGGCTTGAGTCAATTAAAACTTTCACGAAACACTTTTTAGTAAAATAAAGTGTAGCTTAAATTACCTGTTGTTGCACCTGTGTCACATCTGGCATTCTCTGCTAACAGTAAGGGTAGTGCCACTCAGATTGAGCACATTTTAGCCAGTATGCCACAAGCACAACCATAGTCCAGCTTACTCCCAATATGGTTATAGTATCCTGTGCAAACTAGACTGTCTGGAGCTTATCTTGCAAGCCAATGTACTATTACTTGCATTCCTCAAACAAGGTATACACAGTGTACTGACACATTCAGGATGCAGCATTTATAAATCTAAAATGTTTATAACCTACATCAATAGATTTCAGGGTGGAGTCAAATATAAATCAGAACAAACCAGCAGAAATAAAAGTGAAGCTACATGAACACAGCAGGCTGTACAATCCAAAATAAAGAATGGGTTAAAGCAAAATCAGGTCCACTAAGGCTTGGAAGAATGCCTAGTTTTCACTTGGCATAGAAAGAAAAACAATATTGGTGTCAGCATAGCTTCCTTGGAAAGAACACTGAATAATGGGGAGACCACAGCCAAGAGGGGTATTTCTCATTTCCCATACTGATATACCATTTTGTGATGCAGACACAGACCACTCCCCTTGCCCCCACCCCAGCTTTAGGCAGAAGTGCTCCTGTCAAATAGTTGCTTCTGTTTCCTTCAGAGCTGTGCTGATACTTAACTAAAACAGCACTAACCAGGCAAATCAGGAAGTTAACATACAAACACAAGATTTGCAAATTTGGATATAATTTTAAAGGAACTTAGGAAATAAAGCCAGTATTTCCCCCCACCCCAAAATAGTCTGAGAAAGGAGAGCTTTCAGAGCAGGAATCCTGTTAGCTAGCAGCTAATCAAAGCTACAACTTCCTATCCAATTCTATCGCATTTAAGCAACATTTCCTTAGGGTGGGATCACAACTGTGTTAAGGGAACGAAGTGTCTCTAGTCTCTTTCACTCAATAAAGTCATTGCTTATGGTAGATAAGCTTTTTGGACTAGGGGTACTTTTGGAATTTTGAGAGTATACCCACAAAATGAATCAACCTCAGGAGATGTCCTCTTCATGAAAGGCTACCTAAGCCACCACTGATAGCCACAAAATACCCATTAACCCCTCCTTTCCAAATGCCTGACTGGCACCTTTGTGGAGCCTAAAGATATTCCCCTAAATAAAAATGATCCTGGAATCTGCTGCTTTGCAGCATACCACCTTATCTACTTTTTTTAATTTAGGGAAGCTGATGGATGCCTAGAGGGATCATACTGCATACCTCCATCATTGGCCAAACCTGAGGCCCAATGGAAAATAAATACAAGTTTCTCTCTGATGCTCCAGCAGAAATGTAATCAAGCCCTCAACAGAGCAAGAAAGAATGAGCTCTCTGCCTGAATGGTTTTCTTGTAAATTCAAAACTATACCAATTCTAGGAAGGCAAGAATACAAGCTTGGCAGCTGGTCTTCACAGCAGTAGGACACCAAGCCAGACATAGCTTCTCCTTTCAAAGTATGATGGAAAGGGATCATCAGTGGGAAAGCTAAGTTAAACAGATGGGTTTTTATGCTTTCCTTGCTTGAGTTGTGATTGCTACTGATGTGGCACAAGTATATTAACTTCCATAGAACTACCATTCATATTTTTATAGGAAAACAAAAAATGAGAATCTACACAACTCTGGATGACACAGATTTATGGACAGTACATCTTGCTTTTACATTTTTACAAAAGAAGAAAAAACATGCCTTAAAATTATCTAGACACTCATGTAAGTCTCCTTGAGCAACAGAGTCTCGGGGCACACAAGTTTATACAACAACCCATTTATTAATAGGGCTTTCAGTAGTTTGGATTTAACTGGGAACAGGTACTTTGGAAAGTGCAGGAGCACAAACAGCATTGCCTACAGGTTTGTACAGCTGTAGTGGAAATCTCTCTGCACCAGCTGAGTAATCCTAGAAAAAGATGTGGCTGCTTTAATGAATTACAGACAGGTGTTGGTTTGAGTCCCAAAGCTCAAGTTCAAAATCTAATTCAAAGCATAGCATAGTCTTACTGGTTAGTCTTTAAAGAATCACAAAACCCTCTGATGATTTTTTGTAAGTTAGTCATAATGAAGACATGCACAAGGTTGGATGGAACTGGGATGCTGCAACTGGGGGTCGGGGATGGGGGTTAGCTCTGGCTGGGATTACCAAGATCTCATTTAGCATTTTCCCAGAACACAATAGCTCCAAGCAACATGCATATCAAATTAAGCAACTCCATGAAGTTTGCCAGAAATAAATTCCAATTCCAATTTCCCAAGTAACAAGTAGCTGATTGAAGTTATTTATAGGAGAAATCTAAAATATGGTAAACATACAAGGGAACGTGTGCCACCAATCTGGAAAGGAGGAAAAGTTCCCAATCAATTTAAGGGGTTTCAGGTTTCTGAATTACAGTGGTTCTTTCGTTGTTGCACCTGGAATTTGGAGTAAAGAGCAATGTCCTTCTAATAGTCATTACCAGAGGAGAAGTGCCCCTACAAAGAGAAGAAATTCTTAAACACACTGAAAAGATATGTTGGCAATTGTTAATAGTAGCAAAAGAAGTGTTAGGTCAAAGCTGTTTACTGTTGAAGTGTGCTAATGCGCGTTCATTACAGTATTCCTTTTTATTAAAATAAATAGGAATTTGTACAAGTTCCCATGGATTTGCACCCTGATGCTCATTAGTCCACACAACTGCACTGTGATTTTTCACTCAGCTTCCATATTAGGTGGGACTGACTCTGGTAACAGAAGAAAAAAAGCACTAATACCCATATTCTGATAGGTGGAGGTCTGCTTTTTGGCCAGTAAGAATGATGAACTGCTGGACTGTGCTCAACAGGCAATAGAAACAACTGCTCTGACAAGGGCTGCATAAGAGTTGGGAAAGAACCCCTCCCTATGATTTGCCCTCTCTCAATACATGCAACCCTTGCTGAAGCACGCCAACCCTATTTTAATGTTGCTGCTGTTACTAATTTTAGCAAATAATAAGCAACGTACCTTCCTCAAATGTTTTCTCTTTTGCCTCTGCTGCTTAGATGTCTAGTTCCTGTTTTACAGTACTTTAAGAGAAGGAGCCTTTTATACCTGAAGTCTGTGCTGCGGTGAAGATCAGTAATGTGATCTGCAAATGAAACTAAAACCACAAGGGCTTAAGATGAAGCACAAGTCACAAAGCAACATTTCTTGGTAATGCAAGTAAAACT